CAGAATCCTGAGAATTTTTTCAAAGGTGATATTTGGGATCACCTCTTCAAGGGCTATCGACTGATGTATGCTTCATACAGATATATCATCTGCTGGAACTTTGAATTACCCGCGCCTTACTTCCATTCAAGAACTTAAACAGAGAATCGAAGAAGCTTGTGAACAGATACCAGAAGAAATGTGTCGCAAAGTATGTTGTTCTGTTCAACAGCGCCTTCATGTCTGTATGAATAATGGAGGACAATTTGTCTCAAACTAGGCTTATATATCAGTCACATTTCTGATTAAATAAATAAAAGAATATACTATAGCATCAGCATATAACTATGAGAAAAAACCTCGTTGTAAAGTTTACTTATAGCGTTAAAAAAATTGTTTGTTTTATGTTCATAAATGATCTGTTTTGTGATGAATAGACACTTCTATCCGCTAACTATACTCAGAAAAAACATCAGCTGATTTGGATAAAGAATGACGAAAACATTGAACATTTTCTAACTCTAAGGACTTTACGGACACCCGATACGTTGTCTTGCCATTCCACTATCTGGTTTCGCGATTTTTTTCAAAGTTATTGGTTCGCACATAAATAGCCTTCATATATTACTGATATGGATGAACCACTTTCCATCGTCTTCTTAGATTTATTTTCGGTCGTGGTAGCTGTTCTATGGGGTCCACATTGGTCACAACAAAGAATCATTTTTAATTATGATAATGAATCAGCAATGTATATAATACGTAAACGATGTTCACCAAAACCACCAGCATGACTTTGATAAAGCGATTAACACTATGTTCAATGGCACAATTTTCCATATTATACGTTTCATGTACCAGGTCATCCAGTCGGTGATTCTCTTTCTCGTCTGCAGCTGCGAATGTCGCGGAGCTGATACCGGATGCACAACCGAACCCATGCTCAGTACCAAAACCAGAAATGTTATTCTATCCTTGAATGATGTGGTAAACGATTTGTTTCATTATACATATGCCCTTGCAACACTGGCTAGTTATCCAATAAGTGCAATTCCACCGATTTGCTGTTTTATTCGATCCATCATATACATCTGGCAATAGTATTATGACCGAATATTTACTTTTACATTTTATAGCGTATTGTTTAGGCTGCATTTTTGTTCGTCTTTTCGAATTTCTCAGAATTAGTGAGTTTGCCACCTATTCTGTTTTTGAGCCCTATGACCGACCATCTTTGCGTGGAGGTTCTTGAAGTAGACAAGAACTTTATGTCTCTGTTTCTCAAACAATCAACAACGGATCAATTTCGACATCTAGCCAAAATTCATGTTTTCCCTACTGGTTATCCTCCCTCTCCACTTTCGATTATGAAACGTTTTCTTTCTGTTTGACTTATACGCCAAAACGAGGTGAAATCAAATTCACCTCTTTTCCTTACTGCCGAACGGAAACCACTGTCGAGACAAGTTTTTATTCAAAAAAATTGAATTATTTTACAGAAGTTAAGGTTACAATTGCAGTTTTACTCATTTCATTCTTTCCATTTGGAGACTGCATCTATAGCAACGGCTCGCGGTCTTTCCGTCGTGGAAGATAGTGATGAAGCCCATTTTGATTCTATAAAGAATCTTTTAATCGTTTTTTTCAGTTGTTTTTGATTTTTTCGATGAAATCTTTTTCGTTTCTAGTATACCGTTTGTTAGAGAGTGAACAAAATGGATTATTCCGTATAATGTTTATAAGAAGTCTAATCACAAATAAAACGAAAATACATAACATTTAGCAAACTTAGGATGTCTTCTATTAATATATATTTATTGTACTTAATGAATCGTATGCGAATTTGAAAAAGGCATGTTGTTGAATAGTGATTAGTTTGTTAATGCATATGCCGTTTCTTGCGAGACGCTAATGATATTCGAAGTATCAATCCATCGTGAAATATCAATATTTGATATTTCTTGCAGGCATGTGATCATAGTCTCCATTTATTTCATAGTTTGAGTACAAACAGCGCGATTTGCTCGTCGTTGACGTTCACTTATTAAACACAATTGAATATCTTTAATTTCTTCTGATACTTGATTTGCTTTTTCTTCTGCATCAGTCATGTATCGCATAAAATGTAAATTGGCTGCCTTCAATTGAACTAAACCTTCAAATATTTTATTTAAATAACCGAGTGCTTTATGTTGATGATTAGCCCAAAACCTGTTTATCAATAATTTTACGGCACTCACCGCAACTCCATCAATCACTGAGGCACAAACAAGTGAGGTAACAGGCGAAAATGCTATGCCGGCAACAATTAACACTCCAACTCCTCCGAATGCTTCACCAAGTACAGCAGCTCCGGTCACAGCGCCTGCGGTAAGACATCCCACTGGTACTCCACGTTTTAACGAAAAGTTAGCTAATTCAAGTCGACCTTCGACTACAATGTTTGAAGCTCGTGAAATTCTCTATTGAATGGTAAATCTATCGTAGTGGGTAGTTGAGAAACGTTGATCATAGGATCCTCATCGTGGAATAAGCCACCCACTTTTCACGGCTTTCCAGACAGTATTTCTAATGTCAAGGGGTCCTAGAACAGCTTTTTCACTACCATATATATATATGAACTTGTAGCGCGAGAAATTCTCTATCGACTGGTACATCTATCGTAGTGGCTAGTTGAGAAACGATGATCATAGAACCCTCATCGTGGAATAAGCCTTATTCCATGATGAAAAGCGGGTGAGTCACCCGCTTTTCACAACTTTACAGAAAGTATTTCTAATGTCAAGATGCCCTAGGACACTTTTGTCACTATGTTACATACGTGAAATGGTAGTGCAAGGAATTATCTCTCGAATGGTATATCTATCGTAGTGGCTAGTTGAGAAACGTTAATCATAGGATCGTCACCGTGGAATAAGTCACCCACTTTTCGCGACTTTGCAGAAAGTATTTCCAATGTCAACGGGTCCTAGGACACATTTTTCACTATCATATATATATGAACTTGTAGCGCGAGAAATTCTCTATCGATTGTTATATCTGTCGTAGTGGCTAGATGATAAAGGGTGTCATAGATTATCTTAGACTGTTTGCACATAGGAGATTATTTTCCATAGACGGAAGTATTTCTAAACTTACTTGGTCTCAGAACGAGTATTTCCGTATATGTGATATACAGAAATATAGCGCAGAAAAAGAGCTTTTGAATGATATATGATAGTTCTATTGAGGTATGAGGCCGAGAGAGACACACTCGAGAATATGATCAATAATACGTGTCAGAAGTGATTACAGTTAATTCGGTTTGTACGGGCTGTGCAAATAATTAACTTTTGATAAGTCTACAGGATTGGGTAAAAATACTCAAAAGTTGACGTTTTTAATGAGACTGAAATTTTAAAGAGCTCTCCAACTTTTAATGCTTCACACGGTAGCTCACTTAAAATCTGTCTGTTTTATATAAGAGTCTGGTGTTCTAGAATGTGGTTTTAAAGCAAAGCCCTTTAAAACCCACTGTGTGCAGCTCTCATGGTGATAGGAATCAGTATGGTCAACAATCTATAACTGGATTGGTGTCATGGAAAGGTGAGGTGACAATTGGGACGGTTGCGGTTCCCTCGTGAAACTACTTTTTTAAAATAATTCATTGTTAGTTTTAAGCAAAGTTTTTCTATCGAGCATAGTGTATCCGATTCATCAAGGTATACATTTATTAGCATTAAAAAGTGTTACATATACAGCAATAATCATTGCTAACCTTCTTAGAGGGAGAAAACCTGGTACAGATTACAATATATTTATATAGTAAAAAAGACCTGCTCGAACAGAAAACGTAACATTCTCTGCTTTCTTCTAGAAGTTTTTGAGACTCCATTTTAATTCATCTAATATGTTAGTAGAAAATATACGAGAAGGCTTCTGCTAATTCAAACACGGCAAAACTTAATGTTGACGACGAGTTCTTCGGTTTTCTAGCATAAAACTAGCTAGTCTCTCGATCTGCACAATTTTCATAACAAACATGTTCTAGCTGTGGTCTGTGCATAGTTTTATTACAACAGTACGACCCACGACTAAGAAACTGGAACTCTGGACCGTAGTTTGGTCTTGATCTGACTATTATTAATTGAATCAAAAAACAAATAACATATCTTTTGTACTTCAGATGAAAAACTAAAATGGAAACATACCACAGCCATTTCAGAAACAAACATGAATAATAATACACAAAGAAAGACCAAATAATTTAAGGCGCTGCATCTAGCCTCAATGTCTTTTTTATTTTTGCCTTTCGCTTTATCTTTATCAAAATCAGCTTGGCATGACTCGCATCTGTTGCAAAAGTCGCATTTTGGTTCCACTTTCTGTTCTTCAATCAATATGTTTTCGATTCGCTCCCTTTCCTCAGAGCATTGTTTTACATTTGTTTCGTTCTGTAGAGAATACAGTTCATAGGAGAGATATTCGTTTTTAGAACAATTCTTCTCCTGGATTCGATCTTTCGATCTTTCATATGCTGTACTTCTCCAACTACGCAATTTCCCATTGCACTATAGTTGAATGTTAATAGTTATTCGTCGAAAAAATGATCAGTGAGTGGAAGCCAATGAGGAACCTGTAGAATTTTATATTGAGCAGAAGTACGCATAGCTCCGGAAACTGTCAGACAGGCTTGATACTGAACTTTCCTTAGTTTGTCAATGTGATAGTCAGGTGTCAAGGAAAAGATCGTACAGCCATAGTTTAAAGCTGATATGCCATATGTCTGATATAAATATTCAAAGTTTTCCTGGTGAACCAGCAGTTATGTCTAGTCAAGAGAGCTAGAAGTGAAGTCTGACTAGTACACAGCTTGTCAATGTGCTTCGTTCATAGCATGTCCTGTGAGAATAAGAGCCCTAAATGAACATGGTCATCAACTTCGGTGAGAAGATTTTGTGAAAACTAAGGATTTGCATTTATTTACATTGAACTCAAGTAGCCGATTAGCGGACCATTCGGACAAGCGGGCTAAATCACGATTGAGGGAGTCAGATAAAGCCTTCAAATATTTCCCACTGTCATACAAGCAAGTATCATCGACAAATAGTTTTCTACAACTATGCATTACTCCTGTCAACTGTATATTTTATTCAATATTAATAAGGTGCCGGAAATTCGAAAATTCAGCAGGTTTTTTGTTTTTGCATTTTTTATGCATGGGGTTGGATAGAACGCGCCGAGCTGATTCAGAAAATATGTGTTTTAATGTTTGAAAAAATTATTTTCATGTCGAAATACTTGAAGGGTCTAAATTTTCGAAAAACGGTTCGATTTCAAAAAAGTCCACATTCTTTTCGGTTTCATTCTTCAAACATTTTGAAAGTATTTTCTTCAGATTCACAATTAAAAACTGAGTATGAGAATGATGGTTGATCGAAGTTGAAGTCAAAGGTCTATCCAGTATGGGCGTTTGGGACTCGCCCTGTTAAAGGTTCATAAACAGTTTTTCGAAACCTATCTAGTTTTTCTTCTGAAGAAATGAAGCCGACTTTTTTATTTCATTAGAACCGCCATTAAATGAGCTCTAAAAGTATAAACCGCTTTTTTTTATTTTGCTTCGTCGCTAAGATAATTCATTTTTCCTAGTTGAGGAGCGAAAAAACAGGACTTTCGCCTGTAATTCTCAATTGTCTCCATCAGAACTTAATTTTTATCCAATACAAATATCATATTCGGAATCAGCATCAAAAACTGAGGCGAGTGATCTATATTTCAAAATTTTCCGTTGATTTTTATTTTGGTAAAAAATCTCATCAAATCTCATCAAAAAAGCTTAAAATGGTCGGATAGAGTAGAAGAAGTATATCATTCGCCTCAGTCTTTGATGCTGATTCCGAATATGATATTTGTATTGGATAAAAGTTAAATTCCGATGCAGACAATTGAGAATTACAGGCGAAATTCCGATGTTTTGCAGCATGACAGATCGACGACAGTAGAGTAGGACCCGACCAGTACTACCAGAATATCCACATTGCTAGGCTTACCAATACCCACGCCATGTGCTTCGCCTGATAAATCGTCAGCGTCTAAGCCATATGCAAAGAATACTCAGAAATTTTTACTTCCGCTTTATTTTGTAAAATAAATCGGTGACCATGTCTTACGCTAAGCAGAAAGTCATTCGATGGTTTTAGCTGCTTTGGCGAATATCCAAAGAAAAACACGAAGAGAGTGGAACATGAAAAAGAAATTAGAAGCCAAAGAGACGCCTAAACCCGCCAGAAGAAACGAGCATTACAAACTCTAGAATAGTTTTTCAAAAACCTGCATCCTGTGTTTCGCTTTGTTCCGGTCAGTGGTCTGATGAGGATTTACGTAAATGTATGCGGCAATAACTAGTTCCAGTAGTATCTTTGCTCTTTTAAGGTCCCAGTTGTTGGGGGGGTACGGAAAGTTCTAACGACGATATGGCCTGTCTTACAAAGACCACTGCACGCGTGAGATCACCTGCTAAATACTGTACACGAGCAAACATAGTGATAGTTCTGACAAACTGCAGATGTTCAGTTGGTAGAGACATGCCTTGAGCGACAAGAGCCGCTTTGTAATGCTGTATGGCTTCTTTGAAACGACATACGGACAAATATACGTTCCCAGTAGTAAAATGAACCAGGCCTAATTCAGGATGACACTTAGGTACGTATACGGGCAAAACGGCGAGCGCAATTTGCTTGTCTTCTAGAGCCTTTTCATAGTTCTTCATTCCCCAATATGCTGAGCCAATGTCGCTTACGCACACAGCAATATGCTTGTTATCTTCTCCGTATACTGTACTCAAATGGTCGAACGCACGTTGGTAATCTCTAAGCGCAGCATCGTATTTTCTACCCTTGTACATTACATCCGCCAATGCATGAATATAGTGACCAAAAAGCTGGTCACTTTCGGGCATATGCTTTATCTTGTCAGAGTATTTCATCGCCAATCGGAGGTCACCGAGTTCGGTGGAAAACTCCATAGCCGCAATGCAACATCTCACATACTTTCTGGGAATTGCGATTGCTCCGTGATTCTTTATAATCATTTCAATCATCATCTGATTAATCGTTCCTATCGCGTCTTTCCACTTGGCCAATCGGCAAAACATATACGCAATCTGAAGAAGGTCGCAATAATCTCCGAATTCAGTTTGTGTGTAGTCGTCCAGAGCCTTCAAAAGAGGTACTTCATCATTATTGCCAAGTCGAAGTTTAACTATCCAAATGCCGTCGTCGTCCTGCTGATGAACGTCGAGTATGTAAAACATGACGCCGAAGGAAAACAGAACTTCTTCTTCTTCTGGAAAGTGCGACCGGTCGCGGATATTGGCAAAGGGTTTCTTGTCATCACATACTCGCGGATCAGCCTCGATATCAAACAGTACCGATTGTTGCCGCTCGGAATTCGGTACTCGAGAAGGACTGAGAAGAAACATAGCATGATTCCTATCAGTGGTGGTAGAAAAGAAGGACTTCATCCACATGTGACGTCCTTTTCGGAGTTGCTTCAGCTCCGTCACACTCATGCGTTGAGCACGAAAAACTCGAATAGGCAACGAAGGCTGCTCGCGGCGTAGCTGGTTGAGACAATCGCGAATATCACGAATAAGAGGGCAGTATAGAAGGAGCAGATGAACATTCCGCACTCGAAGAGCCTTGTTCAAAGTTTTATAAAAGAACGAAGTTTCCCTTGTGTACCACCACAGAGCGCGGTCTGGACGGTAGTTATGTCTGAATTCTTCAATTATTTCCATTTCAGATCGGATATCTTTGTACTGTTTGCATAAAGTAAGAATCAAACTGCTGATTTTGTGCGACCCTGGAGTCGGCTGGTCGTATAATGATGTCTAATTAGGGTTTCTGATCGCGGTTTACCGCAACCGCAAAACCGCGGTATTTGCGGTTTTTATAAAATTTATCTAAAAAATAAATTTTTACCTATTTTTACATTATTAATAGGTATAAGAAAAATAAAAATCACGCGAGAGAAAAGTATTAACAAAT